AAAGGAGGAGGGGCGAGCATGGTGGGAGGAGGGGTGGGGTCAGAGCGGCAGGCAAGCCGGTGACAAACCCGGTCTGGAACCAACCGGGAGTCACACACAGGCTTAAACTTATAGGGGTCAGGCGTAGCCAGGAAGAGAAGGGAACACATTACCTTAGAGGAGCAGGAGAGGCCGTCGGGGCTTGAGGGGTGTGTAAGGATCAGCTTCTGACGGATGTCAGTAGAGGGGCTTTATACGAAGGGGTCGTGCCAGCCTTTGAACAAGGAGTGGGTACACAGTGAGCCCCTCGAAATGATGTGGGTGCTCTGGGGACCTGTGCACTTTGGGTCAATGCGGCCCACTGCCATCCATTGCCCCCTCCTGTCCCACATCGAGGACCTCGGTGGCTGCTTTGGGGCAGATGTGCTAACTGCCTTTCCCTGCAGTCTTGCTGCAAGGCCTACGAGTACATGGGTTTCATCATGGAGAAAGAACAGTCCTACAAGGATGCGGCCACCAACTACGAGCTGGCCTGGAAGTACAGTTATCAGGCCAGCCCTGCCATTGGTAAGACGACAGGCCAGGGTACCCAGGGGCTGGTCCCCCAATCCTAGTGCCCCAGTCCTGCATCCTGGTAGTTGAGGGAGCCAGAGGGCTGGCCAGTTACCAGGGTGTCCCCACCCGCCCCCACCCCCACCTCCGGACAGGTTTCAAGCTGGCTTTCAACTACCTGAAAGACAAGAAATTTGTAGATGCCATCGAAGTCTGTCACAGTGTAAGTCGCCAGCACCAATGGGACATGCAGTGGCTGCCCCGCCCCCAACCTGGTTCCACACATCTGATCTATCTCTGTACCAGGTTCTGACGGAGTACCCCAACTATCCCAAGATCAGAGAAGAAATTTTGGAGAAAGCCCAGGGGTCCTTGAGGCCCTAGCTGTGTCTGGAAAGGCTCGGAGTCGGTGGAAGCCATCAATCTGTAGACGCTTCGTGGGGAGGGTAGGAAGTGGTCGGCAGAGAAGGAATTGGGAAAATGACATATTCTCACCATCTCCGCATTGTCTGTGGCTTATTTGGAGTCATGCCTCATCTGGCCTGAGGGTGTTTAGAAGCTTTGTGTCTTTTTTTGTTTTGTTTTTTTTTGTTTTTTTTTCAAGACAGGTTTTCTCTGTGTAGTCCTGGCTGATCTGAAACTCACTCTGTAGACCAGGCTGGCCTCAAATTCACAGAAATCCACCTGCCTCTGCCCCACCCCCTCCAAGTGCTGGGATTAGATGCACGCACTGCCGCCACCCATCGAAGCTGCATGTTTTAAGGCGGAGGAGCAGTTTTCCCCGGGGAGGGAAGACAGCCGGCTTAGCTTGTGCCAGGGCTTGCTGGGTCCTTCCTCATGGACCCACTCTTGTTCCAGGCTCTTGAAGAAACAGAGATCTCCCAGTGGGAGTGATGGCTAGGAAAAAGCACCTGGTAGCTACTTCAAAGTGTCCCCTACCACAGTCTCCTCCCCAGTTTATCTCAGAACCAGATAAGCAACTGCCTCTCCCCACCATGATGTCTACTGAGTCTGCCCTGGCAGGGGCTCAGACCAGAAGACTACCTACAGAAGGGCCCCAAGCTAAGAGGGTCAACAGATTTCCAAGGCCCGTTGTCCTCTCTGAGGGTATCGTGTCCACCCGCCTCCCCCTGCCCCAAGCTCCACCCCCAGCCCACCCCCCACCCGGCTCCAAGCTGGAACTCACGGGGTTGGGACGATTTTCACCAAGCCACACCCTGCCCCTGCAATCACACCACTTTGGGTTTTGTAGAATATATTGGCCAACCAGCTCACCTTTTCCAGGATCCCATTAATGCCTAAGGGGGCAGACGCAGTGCGGTGGCCCCTGTTCAGATAGCTCTGATGATCATTTTACCTGGTGAGAGAGCTCAACCTTTGTTGGGTTCTCAATACAACCCTCCCTGTTTCTCAGGATGGAACTCTCTGGGTCAGTCCAGCCTCTGGGTAAAGAGCTCTGAACTGGGCATCTGGAGGCCTAAGGCCACACCGTGTGCCCTCCCGAGTGCTTGCCCTCACTGGGTCTCCGGGCTCCGCTCTTAGATCTGGGCAGGGGATGTGACTTGGTCGGCGGAGCCCTTGTGCAGTGTGACACCCCCTCCCCCAGCATCACATAAAGCAGCCGGGTGGTCGGTCACACCTGGAACCCCAGCACCTTGGAGGTGTTGGCAGGAAAATCAGAAGGCCAAGGTCATCCTAACTGGTTACCTTGAGCTACAGAAGACCCCCGTCTCAAAAAAGGAAAAGACTCCATTTCCCAACTCTTGTGTCATGCTTTGCCAATAATATCGAGCAAATATTTCACTGATGGTTAATAGGCTTGAAGTGAGGGTTCACACAGTAACCCCTGAACTCCTCCCCCCCCACAGACTGGATAATGATGTGCTTGTCCATGTTTGCATTAACAACCAGCACAGCACGTTTAGGAATTCTTGGGCACTGTTGAAAATGTCAGGTCTCGGCTGGTGGCATGAACCTTTGTTCCCAGCAGCACTTGGGAGGCAGAGGCAGGTGGATCTCTGAATTCAAGGCCAGCATGGTGGACAGAGTGAGTTCCAGGACAGCCAGGGCTACACTGATAAACTGTCTCGGTGGGGGTGGGGTAATAGAAAAAAAGGATGGGTCTCACTTCTTTTTTTTTTTTTTTTTTTTTTGGTTTTTTTTGAGACAGGGTTTCTCTGTATTGTTTTGGAGCCTGTCCTGGAACTCTAGACCAGGCTGGCCTTGAACTCATAGGCCTGCCTCTGCCTCCCGAGTGCTGGGATTAAAGGCGTGTGCCACAACGCCCCGCGGGTCTCACCTTTAAGCATATTGCTGTATTCTATTTAAAGAAACCCACAGGCAGGCATGGTATAATCGTAGACACCTGCAATCCCAGCACTTGGGAGGCAGAGAGAGGGCAGCTGAGAGCCTGAAGCCAGCCCTGCCTGCAGCGGGAGTTCCGGGCCAGCCATTGCTACATAGCTAGTTGCAGTCTGGAGACAAAAGGGCTGGGGAGACAGCTCCGCAGGCAAAAGGTCCCTGCCCCAACTCTGATGACCTGAGTCGAAGCCCTCGTTGGAGCCCCGGGCCCCGTGTGGTGGATGGAAGGAGAGGGTCAACGAACCAACTCCACATTGTCCTCTGACCTCCACACAGACCTGTGGCATGTATGAGCTCAACGTTTAAGCACAAAAGGAACATTAACGACTAAATCAATAAAGCAGTCTCAAAGGCCGTAGTGAGGGCAGAATGTATGTGTGTGATGGCAATGCATGGTAAGGTCGCCCCTACAACAAAGCAAGTACAGCTTGGGCCCCAGGAGACCTTGTCTCAAAGGGGCGGGGCGTGTGCGGCAGTGTTGGAACAACTTCCTGTAATCCCAGAATTTGGGAGGCAGAGGCAGGAAGATCGGGAGTTCAAGGTCACCCCCAGCTACCTGACTGGAGAGCTTTAGAACTTCAGTTGCCTGCATGGCTGCTAAGTAAGCCTTTGTTTCCCGTCTTTCTTCCAGCGCTGGTACCCGAACCCAGGGTCCTGAGGGTGTTCGGCTGGTATTCCATTGTGTACTCCAGCCCTGTCCCTTCTGTAACACTGCTGGTCACATGCGTGGATCTAGAAAGCTACCCCCTCTCTCCCATAGGGGCACTAAGTTCCTTTTTCTGATGTTTTTACAACAGTCTTGTTGGGACGGTTTATTAGGAAGTAGGTCTGTGTTATGGGAAAGCACTGCTGTAAAGAGACCGGTGTTAATCATGTTTTGTCTCCTTTTATCGACACGAAACTCCCCAAAACTGACCCCGTGGCCCTCGATGGGCGTTGGAAAGGCCTGTCCGACTAGGGACTGAGTGTGTGGAGAAGCCTGTAGGAGCTCCAGGGCTGTCCCCAGGAGCCCTGGATTATCAGAGAAGACCCCCAGAACCCTTGGAAGAGACAGATGTGGCGTGCTAGAGCGACCCCTGCACGGGGTCTCCAGGCCCTGGTGAGAGGGGCGAGGAGGTAGGACCAGAGCGTGCCCGCCCCCGCCCACTCCACTCCAGAGAGGTCAGACAAGCTGCACCAGTCACAGGTCCATGTGGCCCCTCGGTCCTCTGGTGGTCCCTGTTACCATGCGGTCACGTCCATAAATAAAAGAAAGCTACCTCAAAGGTGACATGAGGGTCAAAAGGCAGAGGTCAGAGACAAACACCAAAGCGGGATGGGCACCAGAGTGCGTCCGCAGTGCTGCACATGTATGACTCAAGCAGGCCGGATTAGTCATTTGCACAGGACTGGAGAAACCCGGGCTCCAGGTGGATAGTCTGCAGATCCCCTCACCAGGTAATGAGAGCTGGTACTTAAGTAGTCCCCCTGGGTAGAGCCCAGAGGGGGGCTACAGCACAGGCAGGGGCACCTGTGGTCACTCCCCGGAGACGCTGTGCAAGTCACTGCCATCCAGGCCCCTGACTGGGGCTCCCCAGAGCCTGGTCTGCACAGCTGGCCTGAGGCCTATTCCGGCTCCTTGCTTGGGACAGGTCTGACAGGTCTGGCTGGTAGACACTTCCGGAGCTCAAGTCCCCAGGGACTGCAGCTGCTGAGCCCTGTCACCAGGCCAGGCCCCCACCAGAGCATCTTACTGCCCTGACCTTTCTGAACCCAGAAGTAACTATAGCTTCCAGGCCAGGGCCCAGACCCGGGTGTATGCATGCAACAGAGGGTACCCTGTCCCAGCCCAAGCCGACAGCTCTTCCTCCTTATGACGCCCCCGCCCCCACTGCATCCCAGATGGCACCGTCAAGGAATGGGTTAATCCAGAGGGAAAATTGTTCCATCCGCCCAGCCAACCTCTCAGCTGGCTTTCTGCCTATAGGCTGACTGGCCCGCCTGGAAGGAAGCCCAGTGTGCTGTCCCTGCCTCTCAGCACAGCCTCTGTCCATGCTACCCGGGCAGCGCCCCTCCCCACTGCTTCCTGGGGGTGCACTATGCTCCCCACCCCACCAAGGAGACCACACTTAAAAATAGAGCGTCTTTATTGGTACCTGTCAGCTCAGGTACAATGTGTTCCCACAAGCACACAGGCTGGCAAGGCCTCCTCTCCTGGGCAAGGAGGCAGGCCCAGAGCCTGTGTTTCTTGGCACACACACAAAAAGAAATGAATAAATTATAGTTCTGACACTTAGAGACAATATAAAAATGCATACAAAATCCAACACCAGCTAACGAAGGGCATAAAAGCCCCTCAAGAGGCACGCCTCGCCAACTGGCCTAGGGGCACACGGTGGGCTCCGGTGGAGTTCAGTGCCCAGAAAGCCCTGAGACAGTGATCTGGGGTGCATTATGGGGTGCACCTCATATCCTGAGGCAGGCCCATTGCCCTTTTTGGGGCCTCTGGCTTCCCATCCTACAGGAGGGGCTCTGTAACCCACAGCCTTGGGAAAAGGGACGCGGGCAGAGGACAAGGAGAGTGACCCGGCAGGGGCAAAGGGGGTTTTGGTCAAGGCTGGTGAGGAGCCAGGCAGCTTGACTGATGACCACAGGCTCCAACCCACAGGGTCCACACCAAAGCCCAGACAGCCAGGGTACACTGAAGGGGCTGTGCCCCAACACCGCCCACCTGCCAGAGAGGCTCAGCCACTGATGCCGCGGCCCCCAAATAAATTACAGAAATAAATTACATCTTCACAGTCCAGGAGATCTAGCCCCCACGGCTCGCAGGAAGCCAGAAGCCCCCGTTTTCAGCCCTGTCGCTGTCTTTGGACTGAGGAGCACATTACGGTGGGAAGAAAATGGATCTGAGGCTCCAGGAGAGCTCCCTCCCTCCCTTCTTCTGGCACACACTGGGAGGTGGAAGACCTCTTGTCTGGCTAGAGGGACCAGGCATTGAAAGAGGGACACCCCTCACCACCCTCTCTTTAGTACAGAATAAAAATAAAAAAAAATAAATAAATTCAGAGTGTTAATGTAAAAATAAGAGGGTGCATTTAGCACCCATGGCCAGGACCAGCCCACAGGAGACCGTTACATCACATAGACCTTGGGGAACCCCCCCAAAAAAATCACAGAAAGCAGCAACGGGGCTCTGGGGGCAGGGAAACGGCACCTCAGTCCTCACACTGGCACGGGCTCCATCAAAGGTGCCAAGGCAGTGTCCTCAAACTGGCTCTCCAGAAGAGGTGCCAGGACATCAGTAACCGGCTCCGACAGGCCCACGAGGGACTCCAGGAAGCAAGTGCTGGCATCCCTTGGCGGAGAGAAGCTGGGCAAAAGGTGGGGGGCCTCGTGGCTGTCCAGGCTGCCAGATACCCTGCGGGAAGTATAGTGAGGACCCAGACTGTAATCGGGCAAGGCCTGGAAGAACTCAAAGGAGTCACAGGAGGATAAGCTGAGGTCCACGGAACCACTCTGCACAGCCTCTGCCCCAGAGGACCCAGGACTGCCAGGGAGGCTACCTCCGCTCAGCCCTTCGAGCCCGCCATGTAGGAAGCAGCTGGCGTCCAGGTTAGCGTTCTCATCGAGGATGCCCGCCGCCAGGCTAGTCGAGTAAGACTGCCCGTGAGTCCATCCGGCCAGGCTGCTGGGGTCACCGGCACTAAAGATGTCAGCCAGATGGAAACAGCTGAGGTTATCCAAGCTGCCCACACCCCTTGCCTCCTCCTCCTCCTCTTCCTCCTCAACGCCGAAGTCAGAGTCACTGAAATTCAGGATCTGTGCCAGGCTGTCCTCATCCACGCCGGACTGGAAGCCGGGTCCTGGAGGGCTGGGGTGGGCGAGGCGGTCCGGAGGCTCGCTATTGCCGGAGGATGAGGAGGTGGAGGAGTCGGTCATGTCGCTGCTGCAGCTGTTGTCCCCCAGCTCACTGCTCACAGGGGGGTTGGCCAGCGGGAAAGGGGAAACCGGGGTTTGTTGTTCGATGGGACCATCCTGGACGGGAGACTCCAGAACCCCCAGGCTCTCGGCACCCTGCTCCATCTGCAGGCGGGTGAGCGTGTGGATGAAATGCGTCTGAACTCTTGTCTGGTTGAATTCCACACGGCCATTGGGGTTCTCACAGCCCTCACGGCAGCAGCCACAGGGGAACGATGTGTGATCCATCTGCGGAGAGAAACCGTGCCCAGGTAAAGACTGTGTGTGCGAGAAGCCAGCAGGCTCGGCTCCCCACCCCACCAGATCCAGTAGGGTTTGCTTTTTCTTTTGCTTGTTTTCGAGACAGGGCTTCTCTAGAAGTGTAGCCCAGGCTGGCCTAGATCCAAGTGATCCGCCTGCCTCTGCCTCCCCAGTGCTGGGATTGAAGGCGAGTGCCACCAGCGCCTGGCTTGTTTTCTAGAGACAGGGTCTCACCATGTAGTTTTGGCTGGCCAAGAACTTACTATGTAGACCTGGCTGGCCTTGATTTTTTTGTTTGTTTTTTTTGTTTTTTGTTTTTCGAGACAGGGTTTCTCTGTATTGTTTTGGAGGCTGTCCTGGAACTCACTCTGTAGACCAGGCTGGCCTCGAACTCACAGAGATCCGCCTGCCTCTGCCTCCCGAGTGCTGGGATTAAAGGCGTGGCCTTGATTTTTAGAGACTGGCCTGCCTCTGCCTCCCAGAGTGCTGGGATTAAAAGTGTGTGCCACCACATCTGGAAGATTTTTTTTCTCCATTTTTTAGTTTTTCGAGAAAGGGTTTCTCTGTGGCTTTGGAGGCTGTCCTGGAACTCGCTCTTGTAGACCAGGCTGGTCTCAAACTCACAGAGATGCTCCTGCCTCTGCCTCCCAAGAGCTGGGATTAAAAACGTGTGCCACCACTGCCTGGTTAATATTTTTCTTTCCTTTTTGATGGTTTTGTTTTGGTAGTGGGGCTAGGGATTTAACCCAGGGACGTAGAGCATAAAAGGCACAACCCCTTGTCCTCCCCAATCCAAGCACGCACCTGGCACTTGATGCCAGCCAGGCTGCAACTGCAGGTCTCGGGGTCGCAGACTCCATCACAGCGACACCCACAGTCCTCCCGAGATAGACGCAGCGCCTGCAGTTCTCGCTTCTCCTCTCGGTCGATCCTCCGGACACCCGAAGCCCGAAGCAGGGCCCGTCGCTGCCGAGGCGGATGGGGCTGCAGGAAATTCACATCCTCCAAGCGGCCGCCTGCTACAGCCACTGCCAGGTCATTCTCGACAGAGGCGTCATCGATGGCGTCCACTGTGAGGGGTAAGCCCGTCCCCGTCGCTGGAACTCCAGCTGCAGAAAGCTACATGTACAGGAAGGGTGTGAGACAGGAGATAATCCACAGATTATCCATGCCATCCTGGGTCAGACAGAACCCCTTCTCTAACTAGATACACAGACCGGCAATGTCAGATCAGTTCCCAACCCTGGTAAGTCTAGAAAGATTCCAGCATTATACCCCGGGCCTGACCCTTATCTGCAACTGCCTACTTCTCTCTAGACAGGGCCCTGTCCTCAGATCTGCTATGCAGTTGAAGAGGACCTTGAACTCCTGATTCCTCTGCTTCCATTCCCAAGTTCTGGGGTGGCAGGTGTGTATCAAGGTCCTGATGCTGGTCACGGACGCCAGGAACGCCCTACACACTAGGCAAGCATCCAGTGTGCCTGAGCTGCAGCCCCAGACCTCGAACCCTCTCTGTGTCCCTCCCCTGACCCCAACCGCAGGCCCCTCCTCTGCACATGGAATGTGCAGACTGACCCCCGAGGGCCTCCATACCTTCCACTTCAGCCTCTCCAGTTTCTCCTCCTTCAGGCGCTGACGGAGCTTCTCCCGCCGAGCCCGGACCTGCTCCTGTGTAAACTCAGCTAAGGAGAAGAGCCGGCAGGTGCTGTGGCGGGGAGCCATGCCCAGGGTGCAGCCACCACGGCTGGGCACACTGGTGAATCCCTGGCACCTCGGGAAATAGTAGACAGTGATGCCGTCAAAGGTCACGCGACCTGAACGCTCCCGAGGAGACCGCTTCAGGATGGACGGGGCTGAAATGACAAGTAAGGGGCCGAGAGTGAGTCCTCTGTGGTGCGGTGTAATTTCTGTCTTTATTTATCATGTATACAGTATTCTGCCTGCATTCATGCCTGAACGCCAGAAGAGGGCGCCAGATCTCATTACAGATGGTTGTGAGCCACCATGTGGTTGCTGGGAATTGAACTCAGGACCTCTGGAAGAGCAGCCAGTGCTCTTAACCTCTGAGCCATCTCTCCAGCCGGCGGTGTAATTTCTAGAGTGACACCTGCCCATCCGTTCTACCTGGCAGATGCCACATAGTTGGAGGACAACCTGGGCTATGTGACATCCTGTCCTCAAGATTAAAAAAAAAAAAAAGGAAAAGAAGAAAGCTGATCAGGAAAAACCCTTTTGGGGACATTCAGGAAAAAGCTAAAGAGCAGTGAAACAAAAGGGGCGTGGCTCAGCAGGCACGCAGGGCCAACTCTGGCTGGGTTCTTGAGGGCGGGGCACACTGGAAACAACAGCCCCTTGGAAAGGCCTCCCAACCCCAGGGGAGCAACTCCTGACAGCCTGACTCCCAAGGTCAAAGGTAAATCAAGGCAAGCCCAGGTGTCCCTGGACAGTGGGCAGTAAAAGACTTCATAGAAAGGGACACCCCAAGGCTGCAAAGGGCAATTTCAGCTTTAGAGAAGGGGCGTGGGGCCCCCCAAGACAGAAGACTTACGAGTGAAACTTGGGAGGCCACAGGAGTCCTGGTCGGGCCGGGGTGCCTGACCACACAGTCCCTCCTCATCCGAGTTCCAGGCAGGGAAGACAGAAGACCCGGGGGAGGAGGAGAGGGAGAGACAGCCAGAGGATGAGGGTAACGAGGAGGAGCCCAAGAAGTCCTCCTCCAGCTGGTCAAACTTCCTCTTCAGCAGCCCAGCCATGGTCGTACAGAGGGGGCTCCAGGAGCTGAGGACAGATGGCCTGGAATGACAGGAAGAGAATGCTCAGCGCCAGGCTCCCGGCCTAACCATGTTTTCCCCATCCTGGCTTACCTTCCACGGTATCCCCCCAAACTCCATCTGGGCCCTCCAGCCCTACCAGAAGCTGAGGTTCATGGTAGGATCTCCTCAGAACGAGACAGCACAGCACCACCACCCCTTCCAACCCGGAACCTTTGACCTCCCAAGACCTGGCCTCTGATAACAAGCCTCAGGAAAACAGCCAGGTACCCTCTCTCCCTCTCTCTCTCCCTCTCTCTCCCTCTCTCTCCCTCTCTCTCCCTCTCTCCCTCTCTCCCTCTCTCTCCCTCTCTCCCTCTCTCCCTCTCTCCCTCTCTCCCTCTCTCCCTCTCTCCCTCTCTCCCTCTCTCTCTCTCTCTCTCTCTCTCTCTCTCTCTCTCACACACACACACCTACACACACACCAGCAGGGCCAGAAGGCAGATAGACCAACAGATGGACTGACAGAACTCAGCCTGCCCTGGCGCATCCTCCAGGCCTCCTGGGGCTGACTCACAGGTCTGCTGTGCGTGCTTGCACGCGCAGAGCCTCCTGCAGCTGCCGTCTGCACAGCCCACCACCACGGGCACCGCTCCCCCACCGCACAGGTCTGCCACCTTGCCCACTGGCAGCTTGGGTCCCCGCTCCTGGGCCAGGCTGACCAGGAACTCTGGGAGCAGGCACTGGTTTTGACATTGGCCCCATTCCTGTCAGAAGGACTTCCCCCAAGCCCCTCCCCGGGATGGAGCTTCTCAGAGTTTCCCTCAGAAATCCCCGTGCCACAGGAGAAAAGTCCCCTGCTCTAGGCCGGACTGCAGGCAGGGCATTTTACTTTGATCTTAATATTCACCTTCTACTTTCCCCAACTTCAACTCCAATATAGTTAATTTTCCTTAAAACAAAGCCAAACTTCTAATAGTGATATTGACCCAGAAAGCTGCTATTCCAAGCCTCCCTTACTTTTTGTTTGTGAGGCTCCCCTAGACCCCTGGTAGGGTGCAGTCACTCACCAGCCAGGCTGGAGAGGTGAAAACTCCCTCCCTAACCCCCAGGGCTTGGGCCAGCAACAGTCCCTCCAGGACTTGGAGACTGCGAGTGCAGCTACCTGCTGCCTGCCTGACTGCCTGAGTCCTGTGGAACTCACTCTTTCAGGGCTGAGTGCCCACAGCTGGGGACCCCTCCCCCAGCACCATCACAGGAAGCGAAAGGGGTAGGGAGGCCATCCAGGTCTTCTCCACTGAGGTGTCCTCCCTATGGTCCCTTCTCCTGTCCCAGGCCTTCCGGCGAGTTCCCGCATCTGAGGGCACCAGCTGTCAGCCCACTCGATGGTTAAAAGTACTCATGGAAGTCGTGGCAGCCTTCTCCAGGCAGGAACAGGAGAACCAGGCCAAGCCCCCACCCCGGGGCTGGGGGAAAGAGGATGACAGGTGTTTCCGGGGCAGTTTCTCAGGCTTCATTACTCCCCTTCTCAGAGTCAAACCACAAACACAAACAGCCCAGTTGACCTGTAGGCTCTCCCAGGAGATGTTTGGTCATGAGCCAGGCACCCTGACCACAGACACACTCATACACACTAGCTGTCAGGCAGGCCCTAAACATCCTGTCACAGCCACCACTGAAGTCTAAAGCATGGGGGGGGGGGGCGAACACAACATGGGACAGACAGACAGGCACAGGCACACAGACAGACACACACACACCATCCTTTTCTCTAATTCCAGTCAGTGCTCCTAAGACAAAAGACAAATGTCTGAGACCCCAGGACCAACAGCCCACTTCCCCCTGGAAACACAAAATTCCACAGGCCCCAAACTGAACCCTGTCTGTTCCCCACCCCCCATGCCATCTGTTCCTCTTCCTCTGTCCCCTGTCTTAGTAACAGCACTGCCACCCACCCAGTTGCTCAAGCCAGAAACCTGCAGCCACCCCCCCAACTCCTCCCTCCCCTCCTCCTCCTGCACCTACACCCAAGGCAGCACTCAGCCCTGAAAGTTCACACTCACAGGCCAGGCACAGATTCTGGAGGTCTCCTGGCTCTGGAGAACTCGCTGTCTGCGTTTGGACCCCGGCTTGGCTACTGGCTGGGTGATCCTGGGCAAATAAATCCCTTAACATCACTGCCTCCAATTGTCCTAAGCCCCCAGAGGCCAGGCAGGGTGTGTGCACACCTGACATCCTGGCACTTGGGAGACGGAGGCAAGAGAACAGAGTTCAAGGTTAGCCTCGGCTATGGGAGACTGTTGCTCAGAATAAAGAAAAATACAAATTAGAACCTCTAGGGGCGGGGGCAGTTTACAGGAGCCGGTACACGTCAATTTCTCTCTCTCTCTCTCTCTCTCTCTCTCTCTCTCTCTCTCTCTCTCTCTCTCTCTCTCTCTCTCTCTCTCTCTCTCGGTGATTCGTTTTCATTGAGTGTGCAAAAAAACAAAACAAAAAAAAATCAGCTCTAGGACTCACGAGACTAGACACAGATGAGTGAAAGCATCAGGAAACACAGGCTGAGATTAACAGAAGGTAGAACCAATTCCGAGGGGACGCTAATTGTCTCTGCCCTCTCCACAGCCAGGCTAGAGGAGCCAGTGGGAGGAGGGGTGCATACTGGACAGTGAGGGCTGCTGGCGGAGGGCTAGGACGGTGGTTCAAGGTTTAAAAATGCCTCTAGCTGTACTTGTGAATATATATATTCATTCTATTTAGGTCGCTATCAATCAAAATTTGGACTGATGGTATAGCTCTGCGGTGAAGTGTGTGTGCAAAGCCCTGAGTTGCTTTGTCCGCACACGCTTGCCGAGTTTATCATGCCTTCCATGTCTCTGCCCCCCAATCTGCTTCCACCCGTGTCTCCCCTGAGCCCCCCTATCACCCACGGCCAGAAAGGCAAAGTGGAACCACCACCTCGCAGACCCCATGCTGAGCAACACTCCTAATGGTTCCCCACGAGGCTATTCCCTCCCACTCTACTTAGCTTCTGCACATACTGGAAAAGTCCAGCCTTATATTCTTCCAGATGCCATAGCTTCAATCTATAAAGTGCTACATGAGGCAGGAGAACTGCCTAGAGTAAACCACCCCCCCAAAAGGCATCTCCAAAGGGACCTCAAGAGCTCCCCACTTCTGCCTTTTTGGGGTACAGCCATGGACAGAACACTTTCCAACAAAAATATTCCTAAACTGAAGATTAACCTCCAGTGCAATTGGGAATAAGGGCGTCTTGAATGAGAAAGGGTCTCATGTAGCCCAGGGGACCTCAATTCCTGATCCTCCTATGTCTACCTCCCAAGTGCTGCAATAACAAACATATGCTACCATGTCATCCATGCCTCTGAGGGCCAGGGACACAGTTCAGAAGTCTGGCATGCTTGAAACCCTGGGTTCAACTCCTTAAAAAGATATGAATGGCCAGAGAGCAGTTAAGAGCACTGGCTGCTCTTCCAGAAGTCCTGAAGTCCCAGCACCTATAGGGTGGCTCACAACCATCTGTAACTCCGGTTTCAGGGGGGATCTGACACCCCTTCTGGCTTTCAAAGGCACTGGGCATATACACATTACAGAGACATACATACAGGCAAAGCATTCATACACATAAAAACAAATCGTTTTTTAAAAAGAGGGGGACTAGAGGGCCTGTTCCTCTACCACAAGGAAACAATAAGACAGTTCCCATCTACAAACCAGGAAGAGGGCTTCACCAGGTTGGGGTCTTGATTTTGGATGCTCCAACCCCTAGAAGCACAGACAGACTGGTTGAAACGGCTCTCACAGACCCTAAGTTTTCCTCAGTGCTCTCCTTATCTAACCACAACGTAACGGCCTCCCTCACACCAAGCTAGGCTGCCTCTGCCCAGACACTTACAGTAAGTCTGGCCCCAAACAAGCAGTCAGGACAGCCCCACAGGGATGGTCCTCTGCCTAGGGGGTCTCAGCGTGACCTCCCCTGCTCCTGAAGGCTAATGTAAGGAGGGGACACGCGCCCATGCCCCCAGCCTAGGTCAGAGCTCTGTTCAAAGGTGGCTTTTCCCAGGCCAGGAGAGGAAAGCTCGCCGTGGCTGCAGGCAAGTGTGGGATGGCATCTCAGAGGCTCCCGTTGTTCCCCAAGAGTAAACAGACAGATGTCAGGGAGGGAGTTGCAGGCTGAACAGGGATCCACCGTCAAGTGCATCCAGATAAGAACTAAGGCCAAAGAGTGCTCACATCCAAAGCTGTTCACATCCCGGAAAGGCTAGGCTGTGCTCCAGGCACGAGCGCTGGACCTCCGGCTGGGTCTGAGGAGCCACCTGGGATCCAGAGGCCGAGAGAAGTCAGGGGCAGAGATGAGGAGGCCAAGTCAAGTCAGAAATGAAAGACAGCTAAGGAGTCCAAGAAAAGTGCCAGACAGTGAGTCAGGGGGTGGGGGAGGGGGCCGCAGCAGCTACTCGGGGACTCCAGATCCCGCTCCCAGGGTGAGCGCGGTCCCGTCCCAGGGACCTGGAGGAAGGAAAAACCCATTCCCAGGATCTGGCTCGGACACATGCACCACACTCCTGGAGCGCCGCGCGGGCAGGCCCCGGAATCCGAGGGAACCAGGCTCCCTTCCGGGATGGTAGCAGCCTGAGGATCGGGGCCTCCCCCTTCCTGCCAACACACGCGCGCACACACACACACACACACACACACACACACGCGCGCGCGCGCACACACACGCACGCACAGGCACTGACAGCCCGGGAACGGAATGTCACCCGGGTCTAGTGACCCCAGCCATCTAGCACTCCGGGCCCAGCAAAGGCTAATTCCACAGGCAACCGCGGGGCAGCCGTGGGCAGGCTCGGCACACCAGCGAGCCCCGTGCCCCCCAGCCTCCAGCCCCCCGCCAGGGCCGCCTCCGTCCCCCTGTACCAGGCATCTGAAGAATGTGTCCTTTGACCTCAGGGCCCCGGGTCCCGATCAGTCACGCCCCCACCCACAACACCTAGGGTCAAAGGACCCCCAGACCCTCCCGACGGACTCTCCAGGAATATGGGGGGGGGGGAGAGAAAAATCACCTCTGAGCCGCGGTGGACCTCACGGAAACAAAGTGCAGGGCCGCTCAAGAGACGGCAGACAGGAAGCACGGACGCGCCCCTCCCCCACCGGAGCCTCAGAAAGCGATGGGGGGTGTGGGGGGGAGGGGACACAGCTCTTTCGATTCAGCCTCTAGGGCCCTGCACTGGGTAAGTGCCAAACGTTTGCTGGCTATATGAAAATGCTTGGTTCTTCTACCCAGGGAAAGCCGCACCTGACACAAGTTACTGCTTCCTCTGCCTTCATTCATTCATTCATTCATTCAGCAAATTCTTGCTAAGCCTCCAAAAAAATAATAATAATAATGCCATGCACCACGGGGCAGACACTCCGGGCATAAGTGAAAAGACCTGCAACCAACGTCTCTCAAGTTGGAGTTACAGGAAGCAGGGGGGGACAGGAAGGGTACAACTGGGGACCCAGAGCAGTGTCCCTCTGAAGAAGGGACACGAGCAGAGTTATCCACAGAGGGGACGGACTCGGCCCGGCCCAGGGACAGGAGCAAGGGCAGCAAGATGCGCCTTCTGGTGGAGGTGCAGCAGCTAAGAGGGCCTGGGCTGGCCCGAGGGCACAGGAAGTCACCCGAGGGTGTCAGTAGTAGAGACTGACATTTCTAGATTTGCATGGCTAAGAGATGGCTCAGCATCTCGGCGGGAGAGAGGGTGTGACCTGCAGGACGCGCAGGGCAGGGCCAGGAGGTGATCTGACGGGACTAGGGCCGGGGAGAAAGAGGGTGACAGCCGGGGGAAGGGGGGGATGGGGGTGGGGCTGTCAGAGATTTGGGGGCAGGGAGCGTTTGACTTACTCTCTGCAAAAGGGCTGGGACTCCCGGGGGGTGGGGGTTGGCCGGAGGTGGGCAGCCAGAGCGCGGGGACGGGTTCTCCGGTGCCAGGAATGTGGGCTCCAGTCTGGGAGCGACTTGTACCGGCACCCTCGAGTGACTAAGTGCGCGGCTGCTGGCGTGGTGTGGGCATTTCTACGGGACGCGAAGGCGAAGGGCCCCCCGGGGGAGGGGACACCGGGGAAGGAGACGGGATGCTCGCACAAGAGGGACTAGGGGTGTGTGGGAGAGAGCCTACGTGTGCCCGCGGGTGGCCGGGGTAGCTGCGCCCAGTGACTCAACGGCAGTGGCCTCGGCGTGTGACGGTGACAGGTGAACATACGACACAATCCCCCGCCCCTCCCTCCTCCCCCCCCCCGGGGTCCGTGACTCACCCAGCCTCACTCATCCCTCGCTCATCCCTCCACACCCTCCCTGACCCCCGCCTGCCGGGGGCGCCCGGCACACGCCGCAGCTCGGCCGCGCTCTCCCCCTAGGGAGCCCGGGGAGGAAGGCGACCAAGTGTCACCTGCCCCGGCCACGCGAGCAACTTCTGAAAAGTTCTCCGGCAACTGGGGCAGGAGGAAACTCGCCCGCGGGCACGCGCGCCCCGCCACTCCGCCACCTGCACCCGGCTTCGGGGCGCCTGGGCATCTTCGGGGTCACCGAGGCGGGGCGGGGGAGGGGAAGGGAAGCCTGGTCGTTCCCCCAACCCCATACCCCGCGGCCGTGAGCTCCCACCCGGGGCGCGCGCCATCTCCAGCCGGGCTGGGCGTCCGGATCCCGGCGGCCCCTCGGGAGGACCCGAGCGAGATGATAAGCGCAGGGGGCTGCAGTGACAGCGCCACTCAGGAGGGACGCCCCCTGCCCCGATTCCCCCGCGGCCGCGTCCCGGGGGTCCCCGGCACCCACCTGCACCGGCAAAGCTCGCCCAGGACGCCGCGGCTCCCCTCGCCCCCGTCCCAGGGTCGCAGCGCGCGCAGCGAGCGACCCGCAGTGCGCTCGGCCGGGCGGCCGTCGGTGCAGCCGACCCAGGTCTGCGCGTCCGGCGGCGGCGGCGGGAGAGACTGGCTGAGCCCCGGCCCCGCCCGCAGCTCCGCCCTCCTCGTCAGTGGAAAACTCCGGGACTCACGGCGCTGACGCACGCCGGGCCTCCCGCCAGGCGGCCCCGCAGCCCGCGGCCCCGCCCCGGAGGCGCCGCCCCCTCCCCCGCCTCGAGCCTCCCCGCGGACTCTGACCCGGCCGTGGCGCCGCGGCTCCGCGCTCTGCTCCTCCGATGGCCGAGCTCCGTGCAGAGCCGGGTCCTAGAGATGCCCGCCTCCCTGCGCCCAGCAGCCCGGAGCTGCAGACTGGGTAGACTGAGGCTGCGGGCGGTGGGCGCCCCTCCCCCTGCCTCCGCCCGCCCTAGGCAGCCTGTTATCCATCCAAACGGACGACCCTCCCCGGGCCACCAGATCCCGCAGAAAGCTAACCGAGACTGGAGACAGCCAGGGATGAGGAGGGAGGGCGGAAAAGGTCATCCCAGGGCCTGGCCTTCACCTCTGCCCCCGGGGCCAGAGCCCCTACTCCGGGACAATACCTAAAGTAGAGATTGCTGGAACCAGCTTCCCCACCCCCACCCCTCCCGTAAAACAAAAAAGAATCTGGTTTCTCCTAGGCCGGACTTAAAGCAACTTAAAGCGGCCTGCTGCCTTCTCTGCTCCCGCCAAGACCGTCCCTAGGCTCGCAGCCAACTGCCTGTGCTACCGGGCAGAAGAGGATGTTCTAGCAGGCAGCTTCTCTCTCGTGGAGCCCACCCCAGCCCTACTCGGCCCACGGCGGGTCCAGTGCCACCCAGTACCTAGAGCGATTTCACCTCGCCTGGAGTGTGCTCCCTTTCTCTGCTCTCACCGGAGGGAATCCCAGCTATGCCTAGGAGGGCTCAGAGTGTACTGCCTCCTCCGGGAAGCCTTCGACCCTCCCCCCTGCCCGCCAGCCCAGCTCCCGCTGCATTCTGGGTTCTTCTGCCTGCCCTAGATGAATGTTGTCAGTGGCTAGTCCAACCCTCAGGATTCCATTCTCCCCTCCCCGGATGCAGTAGGGAGGTGACCTTCTGGCCAGCCTAAAAGGTATCTAGGGTAGAGATGATGGCAGGGTCCCTTCTTCAGTCCTGGGTGAACATGTGCAGGCAACAGGCCTGGTTGAGAGAGTGTGCAGCCTGCCCTTCGTCTGTGGTAATCTGGGGTCTGGGGACCCGGTGAGATCCCTGACACACACCGCTTTTGTACGTTGAATCTGTGGTGGCTGAGGCTCCACAGCAAATAGTCGACAGGACTTGTTGAAGATGTAGGTACTTGCCTGCCATGTTGAAAGCCAGTCTGAGAACAACCAGGGTATGCCTTGCTTCAAAAGCAAACACATGGCCGGGTGTGGCTGTGTTTAATCCCAGCACTGGGGAGGCAGAGGCAGGCGGATCTCTGTGAGTTCAAGGCCAGCCTGGTCTACGGAGCGAGTTCCAGGACAGCCTCCAAAACAATACAGACAAACCCTGTCTCGAAAAAACAAACAAAAAAAGCAAACACATGAGCCGGGCATGGCGGTTTATGTCTATAATCCCAGCACTCTGGAGGCAGAGGCAGGCGAATCTCTCGAATTAGAGGCCAGCGAGTTCCAGGACAGCCACGGCTACACAGAGAAGCTGTCTTGGGGGAAGGGGGGCGGGGATTAAAAAAGACAAAACCTGGACTGATACGGTGGCACACACCTTTAATCCCAACACTCTGGACACTTGAATCCCAACACCCTAGAGGCAGAAGAGTTGGAGGCCAGCCTGCTCTACATAGTGAGTTCTAGGACAGCCAGAGCTACATTTACATTGGTAGTGAAGCCCTGATTCGAAACAAAAAAATTACTACAGAACTGCATACCAGTCTCTAAAGGCGACTGAGAGGTCACAGAAATGTCCCTTGAGGCCACACACACACCCACCAATAGATACTCAGCTGGTCTCCTCCCTGTGCCTGCTGGTCTTCAGCCCAAGCAAAGGATGGCACCACCAGCCTTCCTACTTGTCACTAGCAGAAGGGTCTATAGTCTTGGGGACCCATGTCATGTACCCGAGGCTGGCCTAAAGTCAGGGTGCAGTTGAGGGTGACTTTGAATGTTCCGATTCTCTGGCCTCCCCCTCCTGGGTGCTGGGAATGACAGCCAGGTACCAGCCCTCAAGATTTTATGTAGTGCTGGGCATAGAACCCAGGGCTATGCATTCTAGGCAGGCACGCCCCCGGTGGAGCTCTCTCTCGCCAGCCCAGAAAGAGGCCTTTGATGATGCCTAGAAGTGCTGTTCTGCTTTGCCAGCTCCCGTTTCCAATGCATAAAATGGGAGCATTGGACCAGAGAGCCCAGCCAGCTGCACATTCCTCCTTGCCTAGGATTCTGCAAGATGCTGATGAGGGAGCTGGGCAAGGCTGGACTCTAGAATTAATGAGGTTTCTCTAGAGCTACCCGGGTTTGCATCCTGCTGGGCTCTGTATCCAGGAAACCAGACAAGGCTGTAAGCAGGGCAGGGAGTTGGCACGGGCTGCAGTGGGGGCTTAGAGCAGGGGACCTGATGGGCCAGGGAGTCTGGCGAGCAGGAGGAGAAAGAGATTAAAGGGGGGAAAATACACACTATCAAATAAGTGATGTATTTTCTGCAGAAAAGCATCTCCCTGTCCCGGGATAGCTCACCAGATGTTGCCCAGATGTTGCCGGTGATGGGAAGCTTCTCCCTCAGGGATCTCATCTGAACTCTTCCTGTTCGTGGGGAATGAAGGGTCTGTTCCAAGGCAGGCAGGGAGGGGTGTAGAGCACTCGTCTGTAACTATGGCACACACACACACATACATTACACAGTGTGTGTGTGTGTGTGTGTGTGTGTGTGTGTGTGTGTGTGTGTGAAACATCCACACATCCTGAGGGAATTTCTGAATACTTGAAGACCTGCAAGTACTGTCTTCCGCATCTAAGGACTACCCACCCATCCACTCATGATAAATTAAAATTATTGCATATTTTTTTTGGTTTGGTTTGATTTGATTTTTTCAGACAGGGTTTCTCTGTGCAGGTCTGGCTGTCCTGAAACTCACTCTGTACACCAGGCTGGCCTTGAATTCAGACTTCTGCCTGCTTCTACCTCTGAGTACTGGGATTAATGGCGTGTGTCACCACAGCCTGATGTTAATATTGTCTTGATTGCATGGTGAAGAATTTAAGGTAAAATAGCCCTTGTGAACAGCAGCCACTGGAAGCTGGGGAAGCTGGGACAGTAACCACAATCATTACTGTCATAATTTTGCAATCCAGAAGGCTGAGTTAAAGGGGCGGGGTCTCTGAATTTAGCAGGTGAGTGAAGGTCTAATGATGTAAGATGTGCCTGATAATCTCTGCAGGAGCAGGACCTGTGACCTACCAAGCTCTCTTCATGGCAGAGATGACCTTTTGTAAGCTATAGGTTTGTAGCTGGTGGTCCCTTGCGCTCTGAGCCAAGTTGGTGTAGGAGGAACTCAGGGAGTCTTTTTTGTTTGATTTTTGAGACAGGGTTTCTCTGTGTAGCCCTAGTTGTCCTGGAACTCGCTCTATAGACCAGGATTACCTTGAACTCACAGAGAAGCACTAGCCTCTGCCTCCCTGGTGCTGGGATTAAAGGCATGGGTCACCACTGCCCAGGTGGAATTAAAGCCACTGTCACCCTAACTGGGGGATTCTTAATGAGCCTTGGGAACTTAGCTCCCTCCTACCTCCTTAGGACCCTCAGACATTCTCTCCTAGAGATGTTCAACTCAGAAACCTCATCATCCCTGGAACAAGTTCTGACCCTTTAAGGAACCCTCTAGATCCCCCTATCCCTCTACCCTCCTAGGACTCCCAGGAGCCTAGGGCAGAGTGAGTCATAGACTCTCCTAGACTGGTGGAGTCAGTGATCCTGGGCAGCCCCCAGCAGCTGTGATAGCAAGTGCTTCAGAGAGCCTGTTCCAGCAACTCTAAGACCACTGAGCTAAGGCAGAGAAAGAAATAATTATGGAAACTGCTTTCCAGTGTAAGTGGAAGGCTTACCTGGGTATGGTAACCACAGGCTTCGATCCCACACTCAGAAGGTGGAACCAGGAGGATCAGAGCTATCTTCAGCTACATGTCGAGTCTGAGGTCAGAAAAAAAGGGGTAATTTTTTTTGTTTGGTTTTGTTTGGTTTTGTTTTTCAAGACAGGGTTT